GGGGAGAAGACAAAAGCAAATGTCGCATGGATCGTATAGCAAGATGGGCCATCTTTAACCCTAGTGCCCGCTAAAAAAGGGTGTGTCAAAAGGACAAGTTTTTCTTTGACACAGCTTTTATTTTAACTACAATCACTCCTAGACAATGTTTATTGTTTTAAAAAGCGGTGATTAGAATTTTAATAAAATCTAAATATATGGAAGTAAATTGATAAATTTTCTTTGTTTTTGAGAACTGAAATCAAAAATAATAAATACTATTTATTTATACGATTGTTTATTTATACTACTTATTGATATTGTTTATTAGAATGGTTGGCAAAACATCGACTATGTGCCACTCGATTAAAACTTTATAAAATTGCAAATAATATGGATTTCCTATAATTAGTTCGCATATTTTAATAATTTAGTAAATATTTGTAAATTTATGAATAAAAATTGTTTTCATATTTATTTCTTTATAAATTGATAAATGTTACATATTGCACTGCATTAGTTTGAATACAATTGTATTAGTTTTTAGAATGTTGTAAATATCAAATTATTTCTGCAAATATTGAATAACTAGTGTTTAATATTTTTGCTGCAAATTCTTAAGAACCAAAAATGTGTAAAAATTTTTTTCATCATATGTTTAGGTTTTATTACAATTCTAATTATCACTTTTTAAAAACAATAAATATTGACGAGGGGTGAAGATAGTTAAAATAATAGTGGTGTCAATGGAAAAACCGTCCCTTTTGACATTTGTTTGCGGTCACGAAGGCTAAAGATTGCCGCAAAATGTTTGCTTATAGTTATGTATTTTTACATTGATCAAACGATCATGTCTTGTAGAGTGTTATAAATGAGTTTGTTCCTCACTAGGTACGTCGGCGTTGTTACCAACTGTGGAAAAATTGACGGTTCAGGTGGTAGGAGTAAGGCACTTACCTGGGTTGTTTTTCTGGATAGTAAAAGTTGTTGCCTTCTTTTTACCAATTTTTTTTTTATACTTACAAGGTCACGTGACTTGTTATCATGCTATCACTGAAGTGGTTATATAAAGGAAATGTTTTTTTTCCTCTTTTTTTTTTTGCCTTTGTTATACGACGCAAGTTATCTGACGGAGAAGCTACGTCGCGGAAGTGGATTTTTTTTTTCTTGAGGTTTGCTCATTTCTCTGCCCATCACCGTCACGGTTTTTTTTTTTTTTTTGTCTTGGGTCGAGATTTTCTCGGCATTTTGCGAAAAAAACATTTCCTTTATATAACCACTTCAGTGACCACGTGATAACAAGTCACGAGACCTTGCAGGTATAAAAAAAATTGGTAAAAACAACTTATAATGTCCAGATCAAAAATCCAGAAAAGAGTACCTTACTCTTCCCACCTGAAGCGTCACCCCCGCCCGGAGAACCAAAATAAATAAATAAAAAAAAAATAATAAAAAAATATAATGTCATTAAGAATTATTTTGGTTATATTTTTTTTTTTTGTTATAATGTGCCCTCTTTATTCGGAGAGTTATTAGGCTATGCTTGATAAAGAGTTATTAATATATCGTATAAACATACATCGTCTATCCTGCTGCATTGTTCGGAAAGGAATGTCGCATTTTCCGAAGAGGAAATGTATAAAATCAGTTCAATTTTTCAGTTAAAATTATATTCATTACCAGTTTCAATCGTTAGTTGTCTTCCTTATCGTCATAAGCTTCACTTCCTACTACCACATTTCAAACACCTCATTGATCATTACCTTGAGTGACACTAGTGTAAAATAACAAAAGGAAATACCGTCAAAAGATTATTCAAGTATTTTAATAACTGCATTGGTTCTATTTTCCTCATGACTAATCTCATTCTTTTTATCTATCCAATTATATTCTAATCATTCGAGGAGGACCTGATAAATAATTTACCACCCATAAACACATATCAAACACACTCTATTACATCACCAACTTTTATAAAGTTCTTAATGAATCTAAGATATGCCTACGTACTTCTACTGCTACAATCAGTGTGACGTAAATCTCCAAATCAACATGCGGAGAAGCAATAAACATAAATACAGTGGAACCTCGATTCACAAATTTAATTCGTTTTTGAAGGCCGTTCGTATTCCGAAATGTTCGTAAACCGAAACTATTTTTCCAATAGGAATCAATCTAGAGAAAAAAAAATCACAGTACAATAAAATTGGAAATGAAAACTACGGCACAACGCACGAATGTATAAAACACGACGTTCGACTCAGTAATTATTCCGTTCGTGTTAATTCGGTTCGGCTATGTTTTTCGAGAACCGAAATTTTGTTCGATAACCGAGGCATTTTCATCTGGAATTTTCTTTTCGAAAACCGATTTGTTCGACATGTGAGACGTTCGAGAACCGAGGTATAAAAATGCCTACTAGACACGCACGAACACACAAACGAATATACATTATCATCCAAATCCCGCTGGAATCATGATACGTACATATATTTTACACAAGAACGCTGCTTGACAAGACAAATACATGTTTTCGTTCATGTTTCGTTACTAAGTGACTTTGTGTATGACATAAGCATTGGCAATCGTTTTGATCGTTAATCGGGGTAAGGAGAGACCTTAAACTACTGGGTTTCGATAAACCGCCATCTGGTTCCTACTTAATACTAACTTGACTTTAAGCCGTAGATGCATCTGGGACCTGGGTCGAGAAGGGTGAATGAGATCCACTGACTCTTGTCTTAAGATAGTTTCTTTGAACAAAGACTGTACAATTACAAATTAAAAGACATTGCAACAAAAGAAGTAATGGCGAAAAACGGAAATATGTTAACGTTCTTTATGTCACATTCCCACGGTTTTATAAACAACGGCTGACACATTTTCTATCGTCTTTTTCACTCTTTATGCTTCTCTTTCTTACGGACATTCTTTCTTTTCGCCTTTCTTTTCCTTTCGCAATTCTTTTCTTTTATTTCCTTTTCTTTCTTTCTTTCTTTTGTTTTTTTTTCTTTAGCTTATTATGATATATTTTATTCTTTCTTCTTTTTCAGTCGCATTGCAATAATTGGAAGATGAGACCTTCAAAGTATGACTGAACAGTTCAAGCCTACTGAGTACTTTGTAAATGCAGCTTTTCACCAAAGTTTGTGTAAATTAACAAATACTCTATCTTCACTTGGAACATTCTCATAAAAGTGAATCCGATGGTTGTTTTAAAAATCTCTATAAAATTGTCAAGAATGGTTAAGGCTATATCGAAAATTCACTTTTTATCAGTTACATTGAATATTGATTTTTTAACATTTTTTTTTTGTTTTAAAAAGTTTTTGGTATTTTGGTCATGTAAGCTAAATTCATTTTATCACGTACACCACAGGAAAAACAATTACGTCGTGATGTTGTTGAGTTTGTAAAAATCATCCCGACCGGAAACTACATATATATGTCGTTCAGGAGCACTTCGATGTAATTGTTAGTAAGCAGTGAATTCGATAATAACTGAGAGCCCAATGCCTGCTGGCTTGTGCCATATCTAAGCTACGCTTCGTACATTTTAGACCACTTCAGTTACGACTGAGTAGTGAGTTCGATCCTCACTGGGTACTCTATACTTGCAGCTTTGTGCCACATCTTCTCTACGCTTATTATATCATTATATATGTATTTCAGTAAATAGAAGCTTACCTTATTCCAAGATGATATTCAAAGGATTTAAGGATTAACATTCTTACAGAGGATTTTTATTTCTGTAGTGTCAAGTACATTAAAATTGTTTGTGGTGCAAATAAACCCATACAAAACTTTTTAGTATTATAAGTTTTCATTGATTTGGAAGTAACTATGATCAAATTTCACATATTCTTTTTTTTAAGTATTTGAATAACTGTTGTTTGTTTTCAAGGAAGCTGACAAAATTAACCAAACAGTTAATTATTTCCTATAGATTTATGTTTAATTCGCACCCGTATACATCATTTGGTGAGAATGTATACAGCCATTATGAATATCTTGAGAACCGATTGCGCAGCCAGTCAGAAGAGACCTTACTGTGTATGCAAGAACAGACACGCTCTCGTCGTTTACTCGCCCGGCAGTGAGGCGCCACTGAATAATCACGTGCAATATCTGACCGTGTTAGCGAGAGATTAGATTCTGCACGTCTCGTGAAGGGTGATTTGGCAAAGCATCGCATCACCCAAGTCTTTCATCCCCAACCAGTACAAATTTTATTTTTTTGCTAACTAATCATTCAGTAGAAAACCCAAGAACCACTCAAGTTAGTGGTTTATAGAAGGAGGTCGTATGAACAGAAGAGGAAACAATAAGAAGTGTATATTATGAGGGAATATGCAGTAAAGATAACGGTTGATCCGAGACTTGAAGAGGTTCTGATGGTAGCGACCTGGGAAGCAACCACTCGGGAGTCTGTTCCACAAAATAGCAGTTCTTGGGAAGAAACTACCTTCTTGGAATACGAAGGAAATGTGAATGATTTGGCCCAATTTATATAGCATGGCATACCCTAGCTGGGAAGGTCTGAACTAGTGAGACTAATGAATGTAACTCGCCAGAACATCCGTCATGGAAATGGAGAGTAGCGAGAGTTTTGCAACGTTTCGTCCATGAGGAAAGGTTTATGGGATGGAAAATAATTAATCACCGACAAGGATGCGCCGACTCTTTAGAACTCTACCACGGCTGGAAAGTGTGGATTTGGCAGCTTCAGCCTTGATATAGCAGCAGTACTCCATTTTTGGGTTGGTTTGGATCTTGTAACGATATAGCATGGTAGGTCAGGTACTTACCGTAGCGGTACAAAAATTTGACCGTAAAAGAACGTGACAAGGCAGCTAATGGCGATTCCGGAAAAGGAATTTGCAGACTGTTTTGAAAAGTGAATGCTAAGTGCGCCAGGCCCAAAGGAAACTTTTGAAGGGGGGTAAAGCACTATTGCCTGAAATAAGCTATATTTTCGTTAATATTAAATAGATATATCTTTCCAGACAAATTTTATATAGCAGTTTATTAAGCGTAGCTTAGACGTGGCACATCTATCTCAATGTGTTCATAATCGGTCAAAGTATCTATCTATCTATCTATCTATCTATCTATCTATCTATCTATCTATCTATCTATCTATCTAATTAAGAACTTAACTGCTGATTACTGAAATGGAATCTTTATACCCAAAACTGAAATCTTGATGTACATATAACTTTCCTTCATATAGCGATTTACTAAACGTAACTTAGGTGTGGAACAAGGTTAAATGAATGGAGAAACCTCATATATCCCCCTGAAACAACCAGTTTAAAAACTTCTTTAGACGTCATCAGGTATGAGCGTAAACACACTCGAAATGTTATTGTTTGTTTTCAGAAACGAAGAGAGGAATCTACATCTATTGCTAATCTGCTGACAGCCTGAGATAGCCGCAAAATATGGGCAAGCTTTTCCGGGGCAGCTTCAGAAGGATATCTAGCAACCGAAAAGGATCTCCGGTTTTAGTTCGTTGTATCTTTTTTTTCTTCTGTTCCTTCTCTACAGTTTACTCCAGATTGGGAGATTGCTTGGAAGAACTCACATCTCTCTGTCTTCCTGAAAGCAAACTCTATCCTTCGATAGCGATAGTCGATTCAATAACTAATGACATTTATCTGTTCTACAACACGATGGCCGGTTTGACACATGGTCAGAATTATTACGGAGCTCTAGCACGCGTACATGTAGGTGCTTCCCGAAATTGTTCAGTTCCCTCGACACTTTTCTCTAGTGGTAACATCTATGTTTAAAAATGCTTTTGTGGATTTCTGTGTCACATTTTGTTTCGTTTATTATAATACTTCACCAGAAAGCTAAATTTCCTTACTTGCTTCAACATGACGTCACCAATTTGTAGGTCGCATCTTGTCTACTCCTTATCTTAATGACAATACATTCTATCTTTTCACACATACACGCTCGCGCAAACACACACACACACACACACACACACACATATATATATATATATATATATATTAATCATTTCAAGCAAGAAGTTTTCATACACATAAAAAATATTACACAGTATTTTTTCTCGTTCAGAAATTTTTCGAAATAGATGCATATGTACCGTTTGTAACAGCAAAATTGTCCAAATCATGCAACAGCAAAATTGTCCAAATCATGCAACAGCAAAATTGTCCAAATCATGCAACAGCAAAATTGTTCAAATCATGCAACAGCAAAATTGTCCAATTGTTGGTTTAAGCTTTGAACTGTTGTATCTTAGAACTTACTGAAGACTGGAATTCTCTGAGGTTTTTATAACACTATTGGACTCATTGAAATGATGACCCCCTCTTCCTGTTGTGACCTCCTGATCCAGTTTTCCACTCTACTGTTCCCTCTTTTGAAAACTTATTCATCGCTCTCTTAATGGTTCTTGAATTGACTTTGAAGATGGAAGTCAGGGTATAAATGTTGATACCATTACTGAAAGCTTTTTTCTCTCGTCATTTCTCAGTTGGTAAGATCTAGTGGGGCTGATACAAAACAATTTTAACCTGTTCTCTTTCTAACTGAATAACTCAAAGGATTTTTCAGTGATTCTTACAACAAATGGTGTCAAGATGACTAAACGTCTTATCTGAAAACCTACAAAAAAGAAACTCAGTTAGTTTAGTAGTTTTTTAGATATTAAACATTTTTGGCTGACCAATTCGGCTGTTACACGATTTGGACAATTTTGCTGTTACACCCAGTATACAATTCACATCAACTTGCACCGCGTTTGCAGAATGAATCAAGAATAGTTTTACAAACTATGGCGGCGGGTTTTTCAGACCAAAACAAAAGTCGATATATATTCGCAAATTCTTCGTTTCTGAGTTATTAAGTTGAAAGAAAGTTTACGGTAGATGATGCTGTGTTGCTGTTTAGACTAGGTTACATTTGTCATTCGTGTATATTTTCCGTTTTCAACGTTTAACGTGTGTAGCAGTGAGTTAAGCGAGAAGTGCTCCGTTTAACGTTTAACATTGACAGGGTATTCATATCATGAGCGAATATTAAAGGACGCAAGGCTGCACGGCTGTATCTGATTGCGTTCCTAGACTGAAGGCAGCTGACTCATCCAACCTTTACTGCCGTTTATCGTCGTTTTACTGAGACACGATCGGTGGCATTACCAACTATGGATCGTGTAGGAATATTTGAAATTGTCTGCGAGTCAAGGATCCGACGGGTGCATGCGTCTGTAGAAGTAAGTAGGGGGCATTTTGAACATTTGTTATGAGTTGCTGTGTTGAGGTACAATGATGGCTTATTGGACATTTTACTTTCTTTTGGCGTCAGGAACGAGCCCCAACGTTTGTAAAAGTATATTTCATACGCCCTATATATATATATATATATATATATATATGCGTGTGTTTGTGTCTCGTCTTTCTGGGGTAGAGGTAGAAAACAAAATTGCATTTATTTTTTAGGTTAAACTGCACTAAGGAAATTGAAAATACTAAGAACTTTGGATTATTTACCTAACGAGTTCTTTTTCTATTTTCTATATATATTTTCACACACACACACACACACACACACACACACACACACACACACACACACACATATATATATTTTGACCTGTTGATATTTTTATTTTAAATCACGCCACTGAAACCAGAAAGAATTTATACATATGAGTGTTTGTGTGTGTCTGTGTGTTTGTATGTGTGTGTGTGATGTTGTATAATAGTATCTGAAATAAAATTAGAGATGATGAGAGTAAGGGAAATCTTTTAAACAACGCGTTTCACCAACATCTATGATTTCAGCTTCTTCAAGTCAGTACACACACACACACACACACACACACACACACACACACACACACACACATATATATATATATATATATATATATATGTGTGTGTGTGTGTGTGTCTGTCACTGCCGACACTAGGTCATCAATGTTTGTCGGGTTCATTACAATCTTTAACAAAATACACTATTGGTATAACATAGATGCTAAAATGATTCCTTTACTCTAACCGAAATATATAATTTTTAAAAACCTCTGTGTATGAAATTAAAAAAGAAGCACATTTTGGTATTTTAATATTAATTAAATAACTAATAATAATCCTGTAAAAATGAACATTTATATATAAAAAAATCAGACATTTAAGAAAAAATAATGAAGCAAAAAACGTGTATCTATTTCGTGTGTGTGTTTGCATATGCCTTAGTTTTTTATGTATCTGTCTGTGAACCTTATTGTATGTTCATGATCAGTAATGCTGACTGATATCATATTTCCTCAACACTACCCTAGTCACACTCTTCTCCCCAACCCTCCAGTCGACGAGTTAAGGCTGCCAATTTATTTGATTTTCGCCGAATTTAAACTCGAGATAAATTTAATTTGCCCTTTCTCAAAAGATACATTGTGCTAACAAACCTTATACTGTACAGAATAAATTATCTAAAATCGACATTTAAAATAAATAAGTTGAAATAAAAATGTGTTCTTTGACAAACAGAGAATATAAGTCATTAGAAATTTTAAACAATTATTTATGAAATTAAAGCAAGAAATACATGGCATATTAAGTATGTCTCCAGCTTCGATTAGGTTCAGACCTACTCTGCCCGACTAGCCATATTAATTTTGTTTATTTTTTTTACTTAATTTCTTTCTTTCTTTTTTTTTTCTTCTTACTTTCTTCTTTATTACGAACAATATCAACGAAATATTTTGAAGCACGGGGTTCAAATAACTTTTTTGGAACCAGCCGAAGCCAAGAATGAAAACGATGCAGTACGAACATTTTTTGTTGCTTTGAAATAGTTATAATTGAATGTTGACTCACTCAGGCTAAGTTTGACTCCCGGTGCAGCCTATATATATATATATATATATATATATATATATATATATATATATATATTATATTTTTGTTGAATTGGATGTATAAAAGATATACAATCTATTTAATGTGGGTCTTACTGAGAACTCGAAAACAACAATAATTCTTCGTTAAATTTTATACGCAAAGTTATTGCTGCTTATTTTAGCATAACTTCAGTTTCTCTCGAGGTAATCATTCTCATAATGAATGAATTAATAAGTTAACTGATTCCTGTACCCATCTGTCTGAGCTCAGCTTCTAGGACTAGAAAGCACTAATACTTCGGCCACGTCATGATGAGGACCGTATCAAAAGCGCTACAAGTTGAAGGCTTTTGGATCATTTCGTTAAACGTAGGACTTAATTTGCCATAAGCGCAGGTGTTGAGCGCTGGCCATCTTTCTTCCAATTAGGACCAATTGACATGACGTCAATGAGACCGGCGCATAGCTTGTTCATTTGATATCCTCTTAGAACAGTTGGCCGACAGTGATCATGTTAGCAAAGGGAAGAAAAGAAAACTAGGATAAAAGACAATGAAGTCTTTAAGACGGAAATATATGTGTAATTTAATGTTGTTTTTATATCTAATTATGTATGTGAAAAAACGGCAGACGAATACTTAACTAGGTAGAAAATGACTGATTCTGTACAAATTAATGTGAATTGTGTATATCCATGTATATGTGTATGTGTATAAACCTTTAAAATTATATATATATATATATATATATATATATATATATATATATATATATATATATATATTATTTTACTTATGGCCATATCACGTTGAAACACTAGTTACCATAAATTATTATAAATAAATATCCATATTATCCCTCACCGATAGCACGAATCAGTGTTTTATACATGACGTAAATTTCAGGTGCTCAGTATAGATTGACCGTTACACAATTTAAGTTTTAATAAAAATACCTGGTTATCGCAATGTTGGCCCAGTTATATATTATGCTGGAATTACAGTTTTTTAATTTAAAAACATATATTTGGCATTTATAATAAAAGTGATTTGTATATATATATATGTAAAATAGTTATTTTAGAATTGTAAATATTTATTTTTTTTAAGCATAAAGGAAAATTACTTGTTCTCTTTCAAAAAAACAAAAGAAAAATGTAATTTAGATTAAAAATTAATTTGGATCAACGTATTTAAGCAGATATCTATTTTCTGCCTACATGTAACCATCAATTCATCTCTCGTATTTAATAAGCAAGGTTTATTT